CTTGCAATTTGCTTTTCTCTTTCTTCTTGGTATTTTTATATATGTATTATGGAAACCCACCCAGCTAGTAACAGCATCTTTAAAATAGCACAATTCACTCTAAATGACAAGGGGTGTACACTAAGCATCCTGTAACTAATTGACGGTGTGGATTTTTTTCCCAGGCAGAAGATACACAGTGCACCCAGAACTCCTGCAAAGAAGACAGGCTTACAGCAAGACCTAGGTGCGACAGCCTCTCTGAGCCTGCACACACCAAAAGACCAACACATCCCTTACCGAAACGAGGTAACACAAACACCCAAGTGATTATTCACATCCTCCATTAGGGGTCTCCGTCCTGCCGTGTTTTTGCTGCATGGGACGGCCACACCCAGCAGGGTTTGAGCCAGACCAGCCAGTCAGTAGGGTACGTGTCCCAGGATGCTCTTAGATGTCTCACAAGCAGTCAGGCAGAAGGATCTGTGCTGTGGATGGGCCAAGACCAACAGAACTTGGCCATGACTGGTATTTGGGGAAAAGGAAGAAAAAAGATCAAGGGCTTGATCTGGGAAAGCTCCCTTCCATCTCTGTGTGTAATTACATGAGGTGTTTCAGAGATGTGCTTTTGAAGTGCAGCCTCAGCGCAGAGCACTGTCTGTGGTAGGCACCTAGTGAAAAGGAATTCTATCTCATTTAGCCAAGAATCTCGGAGTCCCCTGAACTTTATAAGAAGTCATGCCCTAGTTGGCTAAGGAATTTATGTGGGGGTTTTTTTACTTAAATTTGTGTTTAACTTAGTGTCAGTAGAACAAGATTAAAAGCCCAAGAAAATTAAGAAATAGCTGAACTTGAACCTGCAGTGTGAAAAAACACTAATCACTTGTTTTTAGGATTTTAAAAGTTTAATAGTAATTAAATTGTTATAAAAATAGTAATAGAGTAATAAAAATTGGAACAATTGGGATTAGGACAACATGAGACAATAAGAACAAAGTGTTCAGGGTACCTTTTTCTGGGCAAAATAAACCCGAAGAAAGGACACACATTAACAGAAGATTAACCCTTAAAAACAGCAGCTTGTTGCACATTCAAACATCTCATACATCATGCATAAATTGCATTCAAACAAAGGATTCTGTCTGGTCATCATCAACTTCTTCCTCTTAATCCTAACCACGCCTTCATGACTGAGCAAGGTGGGAAGTTCATTTCTCCTGATAAAAGAGCAATAAATTCTCTTTCTCTGAAAGATGTAGGTGTTCTGTGGCTGCTATCTAGTGTGAGTACCTCATTCATTTTTTAAAAAACATCTTATATAGCATAGTTTCTATTTTAACATTATGTTATAACCTAAAACTATATTTAACACACTACTTAAGAAAATTAGTACAGCATAACTTTCTAACATAACACATACAATATTCATTTTAATATTTGCAAATAGTCAATTTAAAAAACTACACATTTTTCACATGCAGGAAATAACTACATAGACCTATACACCTAAGAAAACTTAATGAATAGAGGTTTGTTTAGTGGAAGCAAATTCAATAGGAAATTGCTTAGGTAAGAGGAGTTCTGGGTTATCTTATCTTAAGATAAATGCATCTTAGCAGTGACTTAGTACAGTAAGATAAAAAATTAGGGGTCAGCAGAAATGAATTACACATGTGCTGGGAGCTGTCAACATGAAAGGGTCATCCAGAGGGCAGGTGATGAAGACAATAACAAAGACCCTCTGATGAAGTAACAAAGCCCCCCTAATCAAAATAATAACGGGTAAAGGACATAATATGGCAGCCCTGCTACACACCAAGATGATATTGGAGAAGACACCTTGGATGTAATGGCTGGGCAGACTCTGGGAGGGGCTGTAAGAAAATCCTAAGTGTGACAATGTATTTAAACCCCAGGGAACTGTGTCTCATGGGACATGCTCATGGCAAAAAATTTCCAGCATGTCTTCAGCGCTGTGATAAAGGAATGCCCTATTTAACAGAATTTTACTGTTGGATTTAAGATGCTGGAAGGGGAAGGGGGCAGCTTTCTCAGTGAATAGACAGCAATCAAGACACAAAGGGAGGTGTCTGGTACCTCTGGCATTCCAACAGAAGCATTTAGGGGTTTGGGAGTTTTGAATGGAGGCATGGGCTCTACACCTCACTGTTTGGGAGGCTGGGTGTGATAAACAAGGCTCACTTTTTAAAATTAATTTAATAAGGGATAAAGAAAAAGTAACAGCACTGTGTTCGTAGCCATAGCCAGATGCACACAGTTAACTATAACAACTCTTCTTATAAACTTTTTCATTGCATTGGTCAAATGCATATTCATGAAGATTATTCATATACATAACTCCTCTGAGTTTACATGTTCTGGGAATTCTTTACCTTAGTTCCAGGAATTCTTTAGTTTAGCCCTGACCTGATCTTCTTAAGAGTACAGTGAGCATACCATAGTGCCACAATGCAGATGTGATTTTGAGAGCCTTATCTTTTATTTTCTCAGCAGGTCCTGTAATAGATGAGTTATGCGATGATTGACTCTCACAATTAAAAGGCAAATATCATGTATGTTAGGGATATGATAGAAATTCGTGCCAATGGATTATAGATATATGTATCAAACATGCTATTAAAGGGGCACCCAGGGTTTAATCCTAGAGTGACACCTCGGCTGGCTGACAAGGGTGGAACTCGGCATTAACGCTTTGAGTGAAGGAAGAAACCAACATGAATATGATGAACTTTGAAAGGAGACAAAGGGACTCTGCCGTGGGCAAGAAAGAGAGTATAAGAACTGTCCCTGAGGAGCAGCAAGTGTGGACAAAGGAGGGTTTGGTGTGATAGCGGCCGGATCTGCGTCCACCCAGCCTGTGTCCCCGGGGTCTGCGCTGTCATTTTTTTATTGGTGGCTGTCGGGACTGTAATACGGTCATGAATAATTTTTTTGTTTTTGTTTTAATTGCGATTGGGTCAGTTTTTATTTTTACTTATAACAATCTATATATGTTAAGAAAAGTTTTATAGATTTGTAGTTTATGTTTTATTATCAGGGGACAGCCTGGATCTGCGTCCACCCAGCCTGTGTCCCCGGGGTCTGCTCTGTCATTTTTTTATTGGTGGCTGTTGGGACTGTAATACAGTCGTGAATAAATTTTTGGTTTTGTTTTTATTACGATTGGGTCAATTTTTATTTTTACTTATAAAAATCTATATATGTTAAGAGAAGTTTTAGAGATTTATAGTTTATGTTTTACTATCAGGGGACAGCCTGGGTTTGGGACATTTGGGAGGGTCGACTTGTCACAACAACAACAACTAACAACAACATCTGACCTCCAATCAAGATTTAAGGAAGTAAACTCCACCACTGGACAGCAAAGGAGTCAATGGACAGAACTTTGGGAGGAGCTAAAGGGTTAAAAGGCGAAACTTCCATTGTTTGGTTGAGCACATGGTGGGAAAGATCCTTTGCTCCTGGTGCAGAAGTGTTTTCTCTATTCAGTCTTCTGTTGTGTTTTTGATAAGGTTTTAATAAACCTTTCTAAATTTTTGGAAGAGAGTAGCATTTCTCACAGTCCCCTGGTTTGTGATTTGACAGTTATTGATAGCCAAAGAGTCAATGGTAGATTCTTCCTTGCTCTTTTGGTGTTGTTTGCTGGGTTCTTTCCAATGTTATTTTATCATACAGACATCTTAGCCATTTTTACAAGTACTTTCAATCAATATTAACTATTTCACTATGGTTAGTTAGTTAGTTACAAAAATAAAGGCATTAATTATTATTTCACAACTACAATTACTTCCACAAAAGTTAATGTTATAATACACAGCACATAGCCTCTATTTTAATATTTTGCAAAAGCCTAAAGTCTGCTTTATCACACTAAAATATACAATCTACGCAGGGATTAGGGCAACCATAAAAGGCTGACAAATTATACTATATTAAAAGCAGTTAAAAAGAGATTACAAAATCTACTATAGCAAAATAATTTGTAAAAGCCAATATATCATAGCGAAAGCCAACAATTACATGTTTATTTATAACACTGGGGATATTGTGTGAGAAGTTTTGGGCTCTGCCCGAGATTCCACTGGGGTGGGGAGAGTCCTTCCCCCCTTTCTGCCGTTTCTGTGGAGCAGAGGGAGTGGTTGCGCAGTGCTGTGGGACTGTTGTGCATTTGGCTCCAGGACACTGCTACGCTGCAATTCAGCACTACGGTCAAATGTGCTGGCTTCCCCTGCTTCTGACAGCTGCTCCTTGGTAGTGCTGAGATCGAACGCTGCCCCTGAGTTTGCAAAAGGAGCAATTTTCTTCTTTCCCTCCCGGCACCAGCTGAGAGGATCATGGTACACTCGCTGTCTCATCCCCTGCCAGCTGTGGTCACAACTACACCAGAGGGGAAACGTGGCGCTCAGCAGGTGCGAAACTTCTGCTTCTGTGGTATTGTCTGTTCTGCTCTCTTACACGTCTACATACATACATATTTTCTAGTAAAGAACTGTTATTTCCTTTCCTGTATTTTTGCCTCAAAGCTCTGTAATTTCAAAGTTAAAATAATTTTGAAGGAGGGGTCATCTTTGCATTCCAGGAAGGTTCACGCCTTCCTTGGCAGACATTTACCTTCTAAACCAAGACACTGTGTCACCAAAAACTGGGAAATAAATGATACAAGCAGTATGCTAGGTTACACAGTCAACAATAATTAATTCCTAATAACAACAAATCCTATTATAAACATCAGTTTATTCATAATAATATAACTTGTTTGGTAAAAAAATTACCCCTTTGAGACTTTAATTTCTTCAAAGTCTCATATCCACTTACTGTATTGGCCTAGTCTATACAGCAGTATGTATTGCAATAAGTGATCAACAGCATGAGTAAGAACAGCATAATAAGTGCAAAGAGTTGTTTTAACCATCCTAAGTTGGGGAGCCACAAATCTACTTCTTGCACCTTCACCAAGTATTGATGGTTAGCAACACTTGATATGGTCCCTACCACTTTTCTTGGAGAGGCTCTTCAGTCCAGCTTTTGAGGTAGTGTCTTGGTTGGTATGGATGAGCTGTGATGTCCAGTGTCATGGATGCTGCCAGCAAAATAAATGTATCTGTGGAGAGAAGACAACACCTGCCCATGGAATTTAATATATTCTGTCAGACGCTGGTTCATACCTCCTACTTTCCCACTCAGCTGAGGTCTCCATGAAATGTGCAAACCCCGCTTTACCCCTAACATTTTAGCTGGGCTTTTGCTATTTCAGTAATGATGTGAACCTCTGTCTGATGACATTCTTATTCATACTGCAAACCTCAGGACAATTTCCTTCACCAAATCTTACTAGCTTTGTTAGCACACTAAGAAGAAGCTTCTGGCCATCCTGAAAAGGTATATACCAGTACCAATATATACCTGTGGCCCTTTTACCATGGCAGCTCAGCAAAACCTATTTGCCAATAGTCTTCTGGACAATTTCCTTTTTTAACAGTCACAGGTGTGTGTGTAGGCTATCTAATTTGATGTGCATTGTTCTTTAAGTGTTTGGCACTTTTTAACAATGCTTTTTATGATACCAGTCATTCGTATGTTCAAAACTTGTGGTTTCATTGCTTCAACCATAAACTCTATTCCTCTATACACTACTGTATACAGCAGCAGCTGTATAAAAAACACATTGCATTGGAAACAGCGTTTCACAATACTACAAGCCCAGCAGCACTGCTAGGCTTTTTTCTTGATTTCTCTCTAAAGCTAAAATCACTTAAGGACCCCTTAATAACAGGAAACACTCTGTGTGTGTCTGTGTGTGTGTGTCTGTGTGTGTCTGTGTGTGTGTGTCTAAAACAAATCTACACACAACACCTTAACAATTATGCATTCCTCAGCTCCCACCACCTGCTGCAGCAGGGACTGTACTACCTGTGTGCCCTCCCGCCACCCACCCCTGTCTGCCCTGTTATGGACTAAAACTTTCACTACCAAGGTCACCTTCTTCTTCCAATTCCATGCCTTTGTCTCCCCTCTGTGCTCCTCTTCCTCAATCCAGTCTCCCTTTACACATGGATAATTGACACTGAAATGAACTCCAGATTTTTTTTGTGCTTTTATCCCCACCCACATCTAACTCTCCCCACTGAGAAATCTTGTGCAGTTTGCGCTGGAGAAATTGGCAGGATATCAAACTTTAAACAATTTAACCTTTTCTTGTTTTACAGAAGTAAGCTTGAGAGACAGAGATGTGGCTTGACTTGTGATCAAGTGGTCAAATCACCAGCAAAATCACAGCTGGTGACAGATCCTCTGAACCAGGTTAGACCTTCTAGTAGATCCATATAAGCATTTGCAACTTGAAGAGGCCTGAGCATGATGATTAAGAGGGATATTGCTACTTGATGTGAGCAGAAGGGAGTTCAATGATGAGAGCCAGAAGGGAGTTCAACCAGCAGAACAGATGTTCTAAAATAAACCTCCAGAAGACATCCTGTAAAACCTACTGTGTTTGGTTTTACTAGAGTCTATGTCACTGACTCCATTCACCCTTTTTTTTCCTTTCTGCTGTTAAGTAATGACAACTTGGACCAGCTGTAACATATATTTGCCTTAAGCCTGTACAGGTTTCGCTGGCTAGTGGTTCAAATGGCTCTGCTTATAAGTAAGTAGTCCAGAAATCAAGGGAAGAATGAAGAAATATATTAATAGTGAAATGTGTCCACACAAAAGGCAGAGGAAAAAATGAAGAATAAATCTCATTCATGACAGAAGGAATTTTAAATTGCTTCTTCCACCAGCATACAGGGTGTATTACAGGTAAACAAATTTAAAAAGATGGACAAAGACCTCTCTGAATTTTTGGACAAGAGTTCTCTACTTACTCTCTTTCTCACTAACTTTGAAGGATTTATAATACCTGAGAGTCCATGTCACCTTGGCTACCACCAGCTCCAGAGAACATAACGTACAAAGAACCTTTAAAGCTTGGTAAAGATTTCTGAGTTGAGACAGGTTCCTGTAAAAAGAAACAGTTGACATTCGAACATAGAATAATGCAGAAGGGGATTTTTGTGCCCTTTTCTCCTCTAAATCTAAAAATAATTTGAATCTTCCACTATTGCTGGTTTGGCTGGAGTATTTTTATTTCCCTCTGTCTGCCCTGAGATTACCTGTAGTCTTTGCCTACTATTTCAGAATCATCCGTTCCCTGCTCAGCTCTGATTTATTCCCTCTCTTCCAAAGGAGCAGCCCTCTTGTGTTTCAGACCCATTAATCATTTTCTTCTTTCTTTTCTAGGTTTCTCCAACCCACTGTACAAGTAATAACATTTGCCTAAATACAGGCAATTTTCCACCTCAGTAGATGTGAATTACTGTAATATATCACTCAAATCCCTCCAAAATCCCCTTTATTTTCATGAAATAAGAGCAGGAAGATATCACTGGGATTTCCCTCCTTCTGTTGCTTTGATGGCACGGGGCACTACTGGATACATTTATTTTAATCTGTGCAGTTATTTGGACTTCCCTCTAAAATCCCCTCAGCTATAGTGAAGGCACGTGAGCACAGGAAACTTGCTAACACATTTTTCTCATTAAAACAAAAAGAGTGTGAAGTGTTATTACATCAGTCTCAAACAACTGGTGGGTCAGTTGCTGGCCTGTTTTAGAGGGAACAAAAAGGGCAAGGCTGGTGGAATGAAATTTAAGTGATTTAAGACATAGTGATTTATCCTAAGAGATAAAAAGAAAGGTAGAAATAAAGGTAGTGGTAAAGTTGAAATTTTGTTGAAAAGCCAAGGGGCTTTGGTTAGTTAGTTAGTTGGCATAGGCAAAAGGCAGCAACACTAAATCCAGCACAGTGGTGGGGAAGGTGTCTCCAAGTACAGCTCTACCCATCCGGAAGAGACACTGCCCTGATCTCCAGACCCCAGCCACAAGCTGGGCCAAATCTGTTGGGGACAGCAGAAGTTTTCTATTTCTACAGGTCAAAAGGCGTTCCTTTGTGCACCAAGGTACTGAGAGCAGCAGGACAGGTGAGGTTAACACACGGTGGGCCCGGGTGACCTGGGAAAGATGTAAACATCACCTTCTTCCTTAAGACAATTCAGTAGCATTGCCCCAAATATTCACACACATCTGTGTCCTAAATAGGAATGAGTTTAGGGGTTTATGTAGGCATCTTTGTCAATTTTGGCAAGGGGTTGAAATTGTGGTGTTTGATTTTTGCTGTGAGCAATGATAATTTAAAATAGTGTCTGTCAAGATAAATATTGCAAGTGGTGTGAGCAGTGTATGAACGTGTACCTGTGTATGAAAGCACCTGAAGAAAGAGCAGGCACTGAATGTCCTGTATTGATCACCAAAAATGCCGTTTCTAACTAATCAGATAGAAATGGGTGTTTCTGTCAAGCCTGCAACAAGGCCTGATAAGTTATCCCTGTCATAGTTTCATCAGCGCAAGATCCTAATCTAACAACACAAAAACAGCACAGATTGTCCAGCGTCACTGCTGCTGCCCCTTTTTGCTCCCCACCCAACAGGAAGGTAGCAGCGAAAGCAAAAGACCAATTCTCTAAGAGATAGAGCCGAAAATAATTTGTTTCTGGCGTGTTATGAATACCCTTGAGAGAAAGGTTAGCGCCGGATGGGACACCAGCTCAGCTCTGGGACAAGGACCGCGACTCGCCGTGGGAGCCTCCGCCCGCCACGGATTTATTCCAGCTTTCTCCGTGTTTCCACGTACTTGGCCGTGAGTATCCATCCCTGTCGCCGCCTTCCCCGGGCGCATTCCTGTGTCTGAGGAGGGTTTCGGGCGGAGATGGGCAGGGGGTGCCGGGCGCGGGTCCCCGCCCGGAGGCACCGCCCGAGGCGCGCTTCTCCTTCCTCCGTCCTCCCTCCCTGCCCGGGAGAGCCGCCGGCTCAGTCGGAAGCTGCCTTCGGAAACCTAGGTGACGGCAGTTCTCCTTCCTCCGTCCTCCCTCCCTGCCCGGGAGAGCCGCCGGCTGCCGGGCTCAGTCGGAAGCTGCCTTTGGAAACCTAGGTGACGGCAGCAGGGGGAGAGTTTCTTTGAAGTTAAGGGAGGTTCTTCCCAGAAAGTGGTGGGGGGCGGTTTGTCCAGGGAGCGGCACAGCCTGCGGCTCAGGAGCGCTCCGAAGTGCGGTTTTGGGAGACGCAGTAAAGGATTTGCGCTTTACTTGCCACAATCTTTAACGCCTTTTTGTTTTTCTTTTTTTTTTTTTTTTTTTTTTTTCGTCTTTTTTCTGTTCGTTTTTGGTATTTCTTCCCTCGCTCCCTGCAGCACCCGTCACTGGAGTTGTGACCTAAAGGGACGTCTTTCTTTCTGTGCCCGCTACAGCTACACGGTACAGCCTCGTTCCTCATTGTGGGAATTCTTGTAGCTACTGTGGGAATTCTTGTATGTGCAACGGTGCACTGTGGGCTTTAATGGGTACTAAAGCAGTGAAGCAAAGGATTGTTATTGAAAACTCTGCTTGCGCGGAACATGTTCCCCTGCTTTATAAACAACTCTGTGACTCGGTAGTTTCTGCTTGCTATGCTGGCCCTTGATTTCTGCATGCTTGTGGGAATATCTGAATTTTGTACAGCCGTGCTCAAATATCTGACTACACAAGCTTTTTTCATTGGGCTTGTTGCTGATATGCTCTTGTTTCCTGATTCTACATATAATACCTTGGTCTCTATTTGTTCTTGCGTACTGGAGAGTTATATCAGGAGTTGTTTTAGCACAGTGTGTTTAAAATTTAAATGCAGGTTGTGAGTGTATGCAGTGTGTATGCAAGTTTGTTAGCAATTTGTTTTTAAATACTTTTTTCTTCCTCTTATTTATTGATTTATTTACCAACCCTTCTTTTTTAACCTGTATAATATAGAAAATACTTTTCAGTTGACTGTCTCTTTTATTTTTGAATGTTGTGAAAATATTTAAAAGGTTGGGCTTTGCTTAAATTCTTGACAGAAGATGGTCACAAGATGCTTCAGCTAGTTTTGCAGGCATTGGCAAAAAAACTCAACAGTGGGTAGAGTGTGTTGCAGAGGTATTTTTTCCAAAATTATGTATCCTCTTGAATATAACACCAACTTCAGTTCCAGGCAGGTCTACAATTCACTTGTAGGAAACAGGGCAGTAAAACTTGTCAAGTCTTGCTGTCTGACCCCAGAACTACATTCTTTTTTCACATGAAAAATCTACTGTTAATTTTTGCATCCTGAATTTACAATATCACCAGAAGATGATCTGTCATCTCTTCTTGTTTTTCTTTAGGCAAAGCAGATTTTCTCTTCCAAAATGACTTTACGAGCTCTGGTTTTGTGTTTGGCATATTCTGGGCTTGGAAAGGCAAATGGTAAGTGGAATTTCCTGAAACCTTCTTGAAATTGTTTGGGGAACTGGTTTCAGGTTTCTGAGGCTTCAGCAGAGTAAGAGACAAAAATATAGCTGAAATACAGATTGCTGGTGCTGCTTGACTTACATTCTGACATAGCTGAGACAGAGACATGGAGCTGGTAGTTGTGACACAAATCCTCCTGGAGCAGCATTTAGAGATGGGAAGGACAAAAAGCATCCTGTATCTACAGTGACACTGGACACCATTGTTAACCTGAGTTGACAGCTTCCAAGAGTGGGGCATTCCAAAAGGACTTCCCTCCATCTCAAGTGTGCTGTGAACTCTAAAACTACAAGAAAGCCTTTTAAAGGCATTTTGCTGTTTACTTCTCTGATAATGGCTTGGCGTGTACTTCTCTTATTCATTCAATCTTCCTCCAGCTCTCAGGAAACAAAAATTGAGTGTTTGCTAAGAATAGGAAGTCATGAGCGGCGTGTACTTCTCTTATTCATTCAATCTTCCTCTAGCTCTCAGGAAACAAAAATTGTTTGCTGAGAATAGGAAGTCATGAGTTGATTTAGTAAAACTTAAGAGGGAAGTCTGAAAATATGGGTACAAAAACAGGTAAGTCTTTTTGTCTTTTAAGTAGCTTAGAAGAAAGGTAAAGCCTCGGCCAATGTAAATCAACATAACTTCATTGATTCCTAGGAGTATGCAGGAGGTGGACATTTTTGTAGGGGAAAGCCACAGAAATAATATGTAACTGAAGGAGTTGTGTCTGTGGGTAATCCAGGCCTTAGAATCAATGATAGGCTTCTATGTGTGTGATATCTGCCCATTTCATTAACTGTTTACTGTCATTGCAGTGATTCCGCAGGCTGGACACACAAAGGTGAGGATGGGTGACAGTGTGACTCTGAGCTGTGCCCTGACAAAACCCATGGATGTTCTGCAAGTGACATGGCAAAAGGACTCAGAAGAATTACATGATAATATAGCTACATACAGTAAAACAAACGGATTAAGGATTCAGAAGCCCTATGAAGACAGAATGAATTTCACAAGTTTGGAACTCAACAAGACAAGCATAACTTTTTGGGACACTAGAATGGATGATTCAGGATGTTACAAGTGTCTCTTCAATGTTTTCCCTTCTGGTCCTCTCTCAGGAAATACCTGCCTGAGTGTTTTTGGTGAGGTTCTCTGCAGGGATATATCTCTAGTGAAATAAGAGGTGTCTTCTCACCCACATTCTCCTTGAGCAGATTCAAGAATTTCAGTGATGGGAGCATCCCTTGGTGGAACATGATGTAGAAACAGAGCACTGCTGCTGTAAGCAAAACGCTGTGGGTCATATTCAAGATTATTGTGGTTGTTTTGGCTGTTGGTTGTTACTCCTTGAGTAGCAGCTGAAAAGCAAGGAGTGGAATCTTTTTAAGTCTTTGATCAGTCGCAGCTGGAATGTGGGCAAACCAACACTGCCCAGTGGAGTTTCCTTTTGGTGCAAGGTACAACCCCAGTGCTGTGAGCTGCTCTCCCAAACCCTACCATTGATAGGGAATTAGCAGATAGGACCAATAATTTTACTTAACAGATTATTTTAATACTTTAGATTGAGTGAAATCTTTGGGGTATATTACTTCAGTATGGGGGAAGGAGTATTGAGTCATGGAGGGGACCTGACCCAAGGTACTCTTCTTGCATTCCTTGCCACTGGGCTCAGGGTGAATCCAGTAAGCTTTGCTCTGGTTTGTAGTGGTTAGGCTGCTACTACTGCTTATGACTGACCAGGTGCTCACTGTGGTGATGACTTGTCTCATTTGTGTGTTGGAAGGTCTCAATGTATCTGTCCATCACAACATTTCTGAAGATCATTTGGTAGTGATCTGTAATGCTAATGGCCTCCCAGAGCCCACCATCACCTGGAACAACCTGTTCAATTCCACTCCTACAGAGAAGACAGTCAAGCACAAAAATGGGATTGTGTCCATCACCAGTAAACTGGAAATCTACAATATTCAGAGCATCGGTGCACAGGATTTGATCTGCAGAGTAAGCAACACAAATGAAACATTTGAAATGCCTGTGAAAATAAAAGGAGGTAGGTGAGAAGTACAAGCAACTTGTTAGCCTTCTCTTGGTTTCCATGTTTTACAGTAGCATATTTGGATAGAAATCTTCTGGGAAGAGCAGGGAATGAGATATTTATATGTCAGGAAATTCTATTTGCATCCACTATTGTCTTTGAGGTAGTAACATACTGGAGTCCTGTCCAAGTGGGGAAAAAAGCCAGACTAATCAGCTAGGGAGATAAGGGATTTAGAGACACAATGCAGCATGCACCATTGTGCAGCAAGTTGAACTTAGGTTTCCACATCGGCCTTCATTATTTTTTTAACAGCTTAAAAATAAATATAAATATGTCAGCTGATATCCATAAGTTGAATGATGAGTAGAAATTCTGTGGGTTGCTTGATGAACTTGGAAATTTTGAAATAATAACAAAATCTGTATCTGTATTATTTGAAATAATAACAAAATCATAACAAACTGTATCTGAATCAAATGTTCCAGTTCAACTTACTGCATGTTTTGTTGTATATAATATGTACATGGTGTTTTAGTTTCTCTGATTTTTTGCCAAGGCATATATCCACTGCAGTAATGCTCAGAGAGGAAGAGTACTTTCAGGCATACAGGCAGGGGGTCAGTTGAAGATACTTATGTTTGGTTTATACAGAAATCTTAGATATATTAATGTAACATCTGAATATCTTACAACATTCTGTTCTGCTGGAAAGACTTTCACCCTGTTTCTACAGATAAGAAATTGAAACATTAAAAGCTGAAGAATCATTTTTAGTTCCTACAGGAGCATTGACTTGAGTGATCTAAAATTCATGTGTCTCTATATCCAGAGCCTTAAATTGAAGACCACTTGTAAATTAGCAAGACAGGAAAAGCAGCTCATAGCTGTGGATTGATTCTGAAATTACATGCTCAAGAAGTGATTGTTACAGGGATAGTAGTAAAGAGCAGGATCTGATTTTTAATATCTGCTCTCTAAACATTCAAAAGCAATTTAGTTCTTAATTCTGAATTACATTACAATTCTGAAAAAGCATACTAATCTTTTTGTCCTGTCTCCAGTATTCTTTTGTTTTGGTCTTTTAAAAAAGCAAATGCATATCTCAAAAACAGAAAACTAAATAACTGTTTTTATTTCTAGCTAAGTGGATAAAAAATCAGCTAACAGCTTGTTGTTTTAACAATCATATATTTTAGAGGACAAGAAGTTCAAATGAATAGTTCAACATATCTTTGTTAAAAGACGTGATCGTTTTGGCTTGAGTCAAATAAATTTCAAGTCATGCAGTTTTCCAGCTGATGTCAGTGAACATTGAAATGAGCCTTTTGATTAACAGCAGTCAAATGAAGTGGAAATGTCTAAGCAGGGAGGAACATTTACACTCAGTTGTTGGGTAGAGCTATTTGCAGGCAGCAAAACATAGCCTGTCTTTTTTTGTTAAAATTAATGTTGCCTTTTCAACAGTGTTAAGTGTTTAAAAGTAAGAACAATAAAATTCTGGGTGAACCAAAAAACTATTCTGAAAGTGTTAAGACTTGTATGAAGCTCTTCTTATGTATGTATGCCAATCACTGTATCAGGTATAGGGATGGCAGTGTTCTTTGCCATAGGCACATCTTTTCTTCACATTTTCTGTGGACAAGTAGCTTTGTTTTTGAAGATACACAGGTTTATTTTATCTTTTGAGCAATTGCTGCTTTCATTTATCCTAGCAGTACCTTTAACCATATCAGAGGAACCACTGTCATTAATCAGACATCCTTGTGGCTCATTTTGCTTTTTTTCACAATGAGATTAATTTGCTGTGGATGTTTTGTTGTTTTCTTTTCACAGAAGAGGTGTCACCATTGCTTTGGCTGGTGATTATTGCAGTGCTTTTAGTAGTCATCATAGTTCTGATTCTGATTACGCTGTTCTGGAGGAAGATCCTCTGCAGGAGGAGTTGAAGTGGTGAGTTACCAATGTGTGGAAACGTGTGGTTTTCCTAGAGCCCATAATAAGGTCTGATCATCTGCAGAGAAGAAGATTTTGTTGGGATATCATTTGGGGGTATGAGAGTGTCATACTGGACAAGTTAGTAATAATAAATAATCATAGTAATATGGCTACAGTTTTCAAGTTGCATGTAAGTTTAAGAGCTGTTTTCCCACTGCCAAGGATCAATCCAAGGCTGAGAATTGTGAGGGAAGAATCCAAGCCGAGCAGAACATGCTGCTCTTTCTTTGCTTGGAAGTAGCAGTCTCAGCAGAAGTAATTCGCTCATCTTTCACATTTTCCTGGAAGCCTATGAAGTGTAGTATGCTCAGATAATTTTTGGCAGATGAAGTAAAGATTGGTGAGGAACCCACTCATGCAGAGTGATGTCCCTTCAGGGGAACCATTTTCTACTGGTTATGGCACCATCTTTATTTTTTTTTAAGACAAACAGTAATATGATGAAGTGTACTCAAATTTGGCACGAGTGTGCTTCCTAATGATGAGTTAAGGAGAAGTTGCAATCAGTGTAATGTCGCTGAGTTGTAATAACTTATGGATAAATAACTTATGGTCATGGATAAATTTAAGGAGAAGTTGCAATCAGTGTAATGTCACTGAGTTGTAATAACTTGGTCATGGATCAACTCAATTCTCTAGTCTTAATTAGTAGTAACATAATGAACAGAAAAAGACTGGGGGTGGGGGGTGACAGGAGGGACACCATAAGCTTCAGAAATCACAGAAATTTGATGGTCATTGGTGGTTTCACTGTTGTTTAACTAAATCTAAATTCCATGTCTGGCTTTAAATTCCACTATATATTTATAAACACCAACACATATTTACTCAGTTCCTGGTGATATACTTTAGGGCAATTATATGATATAAAAAAACGTTTCAAGGAGTATCACACCTGTCTTGTGAATTTAGACCTATAGCATCTACTATTAAGAGGGTTTGACCTAATGAATCTGCTACTACCAGAGACACAAAAGTCTCCACTGAGAAGAAAACACTTACTGCACCCCAGATATAATGTCTTAATTGTAAAATATATGTGAGGCTTTCATTGATCCCATAAACAACTCAGAAGATAAAATTTCTGGTTGAATTTTCAGACCAACCTGGAATTTAAAGTGCAAGAAGTTTGTTCTTAAATACTGCTTTTTAAAGGACCAGAAGAAAAAGGTGAAATTCTTACAATAAAAACGTATCTTTATTCTAGAACAACCATTCCAAACACGAATGAGCTTGTACTAAGAATACTGTGAAGGAGAGACCTTGAAATGGAGGTGATCTAATAGAGCTTTGGGATCACTCCCTGGAGCAGATCTGAGGCTGACCAGGAGAAGAGAGTGCCAAAAAGCACAGGTGCTGCTTTGCAGTGTTTTAAAGCCCCTTCTTTGCATGGCAGATGAGAAACATCCTGGGATGCTGAGTCTGCGCTGGGGCCCGAAGCTGGACCGGTGCCACTCAGTGCAACACTGCCTGATAAGACCAGGTTGTGCATGTTTGGAGTAGGCTGAGGATGTTAACATGTCCTAGCATGATTCTGGCCCATGGATATTAGTAGTTCTCTGGGAAATGTGATCATGTGGGTTCAGCAGTAATTTGTAACATGGCCATCCCCAGCAGGCAGCAGGTTTCTTACACCCCACACCACACGCTAGGTGTCGGGCTTGGAACCCCTAAGCTGTAGGTTGTGCATGTTTGGAGTAGGCTGAGGATGTTAACATGTCCTAGCATGATTCTTGCCCGTGGATATTAGTAGTTCCCTGGGCAATGTCATCATGTGAGTTTAGCAATAATTTGTAAGGGGGCCACCCACAGCAGGCAGCAGATTTCTTACACCCCACACCACACGGGCTTGGAACCCCTAAGCTGTTGATGGATGGAATGTAGGAGAATAGAGATAGTGATGAAGGTAGTCTCACCCCTAAGGAGTTAAAGCTGTGCTAATTATCAAGCATTAAAAACAGGCCTGCCCTTAAAAGGCCACAGCTAAATACAATTAAGATAAGTATTGTAAAAGAGTAAGTTAGCTAATCCAGAAGTTAAATAAAGTTTGTTAGCTGTGCTAAAAAAAAAAAAAAAAAGGGCTGTGAAAAGCTGCCCAGAAGAAATTGCCAAAAAAGTACAAAACCTTTACAATAAGATAGAAACACTAAGCCATTTAGTGTATCCTTGTACCCTGACATGGGTCATGTAAGACATGATTTACTGCTGTGGAGACACCGCACACGCAACAGAGCCTACAGTATCCATTATTTGGAAAATATCCCAAATTTGGAAACAGATCCTCCTCCCCTGCCTTGTAAGGAAAGCATAAGACAGAGAAAAGCACTGTGCTTTCAGTTTCAACTGAAAGCACTGTGCTTCTTTTTCCTTAGCTAAAGGCTCAAAGACTTAAGTCCCTCTGTGTGTCCAAGAGAAATGGCGTCTCATGTCCTGCTGCCTGGGAAGATGTCAAGATTCCTGGCCCCACATGCATGCCAACATGTCACAAGGTCAAGACTTAATGTAAATCCCTGTTTGCTGGAGCAGAGGACATAATTAGATGAACACTGTTTAGTAGTGGGTGTTTGTTGGATTAAAGTTTATCAAGAAAACCAGGATTTGAATGACATCAGTTGTTTGTGTTCCTTTCCATTTTTTATGGGTTTTGTTCAACTGTGATGGGAGGATGTGATTTCTGCAGTGAGGTTGAAAGTCATTAAGTCTCTGTTCTTCTAATATAGTCCAGCTTTTATTAGCTATAGTTAGTATCTTTTCAGTTGCTGTTTGGCCTTGAGTTTCAAAAAGGTATCGCACTGACCTGGATCAGTTTTGAATAAAGGCAGCCATTACTTTATCCAGAGAAATTTTAACCACCTGATCATATTCCTTCCTATGTTACCATCTAAGTGAAATGTGTAGTATGTCTTTTTAATTTACACCTGTTTCCCTGAAGGCATCATTAATTAGTTTGCTGTAAAACTTCAGTGGTGGTGCAGTTTGATCCCTCTGTCACCATCTGATTTTTTTCCCCCTCTCCCAGGATGCTCTTTTCTGCTGGTGGCTAAGGGTTACTAACAGTTTATCTTGTATAGGATTCCACTTTCACTTTCCTGGGCATCCTTAGAATACGAAGACTATCTGTAGAGTTACAGTGATTTTTAACACTGTACTTACAGTGTGTTACCACTCCACAAGTACTATGATGAGAATATTCCCTAAACTTCTTAGCTTTGAATCCTAGTCTGGTTTTGTGGTGACTTGTTTTTTCCTTGATCATCTGTAAAATATATTTATGCTTTTTAAAGCATTGGTTGTAGTTAGTTCACCCAAATAATATCTGGCAGAAAGCCCTTTTCTGGTTTTACTCTCTGTTGTCCTCAGACTGGGTGGAATGAGGAGCAGCGCCCACGCATGTACTTTTCAAAGTGTTGTTTGTAACACCACAAGAGAGAGCTAACAATAGAGAGCTAATAGCACTGGCTCAAGAATACCAGGGTCTGTCTAAGGGTTCAGCACTTTTTTTCATTCTGCACTAGATAACAAGCACAGCCTTCCAGGCTTGTCAAGATACTCAGTTCTTAAAGTAAAACAGTAGCTTTTTATCTGGGTGGCTGGGGAGCCTTCTCTGACAAAGTTTCATCAAAGTGCTTTTGCATTTGAAAGTATGGTTAGGCTTTGCTTTGCATTTATTTTGTTGTTCCCTTCCTCTTTATGGTAGATACTTGGGAATCAATATGGGCTGAAAGTCAATGTCCCATTCCTCAGGCATTTCCTTGTGTACCTGTTACAGAGCATACACAGACTTTGGCTCTCCCTGAAAATGTCCCCAGTGAAGTGTCTTCACAACATTTGTGGATAAGTGACTTATTTGGAATCAAACCGAGCAGCCTTTGTAGCATGTGCTGACACACAGGTTTGGAAAACTCTCATCCTCTACCAAGTAGGCAGGCAAACCCAGCTGTGCCTATCATTCGATGTAAGTGCAATGAGCAGACCGCAAAAAAGTCACCAGGCATAAATTCTCCCATGCCTGAAGTTTCTTGATAATATTCATCTGATAAAAAGTTAAATACTGCTCATCTGATAAAACGTTACATCCTTTCATTCCTTACTCAGCTAATCAAGCTTAACTGTAGACCACACTGAGATAAAGCAGTCCAGTTAAGAAGCCAAGTACCTGGGTAGAAGCAAAATAAAGGCTATTAGCCTGAATAAATTCCTGTGAGTTACCTGTCATTTATGTCTCTTCACTTTAATACTTTCCGTAGCATCACTTGCTTATTTCATGGCTTGCAGGATACTCGTGTTTCAGCCTGGCCAATTAAAAAGCTTTATAGTTAATTCTCAGGACATATCAGTCTGCAGGGGGATAAAATTCCATGCATACATTTTTTCTGGAGGCTTGTGGTAGCCTGTGAGGAAGGACTACTTCACAGATGTATATAAAGGCCAGAATGTTGTTTTTTTGCTGACTTTTTTTTTTTTTATTTAGTTTGGTTTTTAGGAATTGGTATATTGATCTCCCTTGGGTAGCTTATGCAGGTTTTGCCATGTGAATATTCAGAAATATTCAAATAGTATACTTGTGTTTAAAAAAACACAAGAGGGGGGGAAAAAATTTGGGCTTCTAATTGAGCAGATATGATACTGAATAGATAAGAAAGCTGAACAGAATAGGTTAACCTGGAAGAAGAAAACTTGAAGAGTCATAGAAGAAGAGAGTAGGCCAGACTAAAAATTCCATTCTGCAGAAAGCAACACCATAGAAATCTATTTTTCCTGTTTGGAAATCAAAACATTCAGGTTATCCTTCAAGTGAAGATTTTATGGAACTCAGATGTAAGCAGCATTGACTTTACCTCTTAGTGCAATGGTTTACTTGACAAGGTGGTATTTGGTCAAAGGTTGGACTTGATGATCTTGGAGGTCTTTTCCAACCTTAGTGATTCTATGATTCTGTTTGTGTCTGAACACAACCCGCTATCTGTATTCCAAAGAAATGCTGAAACTCAGTGTGCTTAATATGTTAGACAAGTACTCCAAAACAGGTTCAAAATACCTCTTTGTTACAAGCTGGAGATGACTGAATACCCTGAATAAGAATTTAAGATTCCCTGATTGAATATTATATTTATAATTATTCCCTTTTGAATTTGATGGTTGTTACAAATAGCATAGAATCAGGTCTGCTAAGTGTAAAATAGCAGCTTGGCTGATCAGCTATAATATGTGGATATGAGAAACCCAAATTTTGGTGGCCAAATATGTCCTGGAAGGCTGGGAAATACATACTATGCAGGATTTCCAGTTTTTGAGAAAATTTATAAGAACAACTACTTTGTTATATTTTTCATTTCTTTGTTTATAGTAAACATAGTAATTAATTCTGGAAGAGTCTTTATAGCAGTATTCTCTAGTCTGTATTCAGTTTGGGGAAGGCTGTTTCTAAGCTCTAGCTTAAAAATTACAACAATCTTATTTTATCTTATGACTTTGCATGTTTCTCTAGTGTTTTCTTTGATATCTGTTTTCTTATTAGTGAGAGACTCAGTAGTTGAGAACAATACAGTAGCAGCTTGGTTTTCGGAGAATTTCCAGAGAAGCCCACTAAATACCAGACTTTCAGATTATAAAGTCAGGATATAACTCCTTCTTTTCTAAGGAAGATGGATTTAACATACTTTCTCTGCTCAGAGGAATGGGTTTCTGGCAGTCACGTCCCAGCTGTCAAGGCTCATTCTAAAGTAGCCGTGGTTTCCTCTCAAGTGTGGCCTTAATGAGAGTAGGAGATTAGATTTGTCCTATTTTGAATTACTGAAAAATAGCAAAAACTATGCAGTGAATATACAACAGCGTCATTCCTTTACCCTTCTTAATACTAAACCCAAGCCAACCAAACAAACAAAAATCCCAAAACCCAAAAATGCCACAGTGTAAAACCAGTATAGACAAACAGACCTAAACAGAGCTACTGAGGGGAGGAATAAAAAAACCAAACAACCCTCATGACAAAAATGTCAGTGAAAGGGTAATTCTGCCATCAGGCTGTCCATCAGGTTTCCTGCAAGCATAAATATTTTGCAACTCAAGATGTTTTCTGGATTTAATCACACACTATTTTAAGACTGCGTCTGTTACCTGGCGATTACACCTAATTTTCTGTTCACAGAAATGTGCCTGGCACATCCTCTGGTCTGTATCATAAATAGAGGGAGGATGGGCACACTTTGCAAACTTTCCATGCTTTAGTGCTGTCTGTTTTCTTTGTGGAGGAGAGAGATGGCTGGTGTTTTGTTTGTTCTCCCTGTCATGTTTTTCTGGGAACAGCATACTCCTTATCCTGCCTTCCTTTTAGAAGAGCCAGGAAAGGGGAGTGGCAGGAGGAGGAAGGAGAGGGAGGTCATATGGGTGAATTCTGGTCTCCTAGGCCATGGCTGCTGTTTTTGTCTGGAAGGATTAAATAAACACTGTTTTGCTACTGACAGGATGAAGGTAGTGGTGTAGGGAATACCTTGGAGTTTGTCCTGTGCATCCAAAGGAGGCTATGTCACAGGAACACAAAGCCCGTTCTTTGCAAACAGGGAGGCTTTTAGTATATGTGACTAGTACAGCTCCTATCCTGTGTATCATTTTTGTGCTCATATTGCATTACAAAGTAATTTTCTGGCCCTTCCCTCTCCTTTTTATTCCAACAATAGGGCTTTGTATATAACAAGGAAATAAAATGGCTGGCAGCTGAAAGGGAGAACAAATAGCATTCCTGTAATATGTGAACAGTTGCCTCATTATTTTTCATTCACTTGCTTGATAAAAATTATTTATAAACTAGATTCCAAAGTACTTTACAAAATACTTTGTCTGAATGAACGGTTATTAGATAAGGAACCTCTTTCATACTCCTCTACATGAAAAGTAAAGATGCCATATATTTTATTATTGTCTTCAAAGCCATGTAAAGGTAGAGTTGTAGACTGAATCTCAAACATATAAAAGATACTCTGAAATATCAAATTACTTAAATACTCAATATATGTGCGTTAATTAATAACTGGTGTTTTATTACTAGTGAGGAAAGTTGGTTTACTTTTCACAGTTTACAAATAATTTCAGGGTTTTGTATATTCTTTATGTCACATTCTGAATTCTGCAGTGTGTGATTTCCAGAATTAAAAAAGCAGGGAAGTTGTTCACCAAAGGGCAGGTTGCTCCCCATTTTCTCCGTTGTGCATTTCTCTTCCTCCTGTCCCAACAGCAACTAGACTAAGCAAAACCTGAGACAGCAACAGAATGGCCATGACTCATCCTTTCCTGGGGTTGTTTTTGTGTTTCCTAGGATCCTGAGCATTTCCATCCATCTACCAGATCATTAGAAGCTATCAGCCTGAAGTGAACATTACACATAGTGACTTGACTGGCTGGAAAGAAGCAGCAAAAAAAGGAGAAGACGTCATATACACTGCCCTGTCTGGAAGCTGAGTTGCTCACTGAAATTACTAACACAACATTTGCTATCTGGTCTAGGCCCTTAATCTTAAAATGTAGGACTGGAGGGACCACTTCGTCTGCTGTTCTGCAGAGGAGGAGGTTTTGTCAGGCAAAACCTTCTTTGCCCATGCCACTCTTGGTACTGCTGCTGGGCAAAATGTATTTGTCTTCTTCCAGCCGAGTATCGAAAATGTCTGTGGGTTGAAGCTCTGCAGACTCTCTGGGGATTCTCTTCCAGTGCCTAATTGCTCTTGCAGTAGAGAGGGATTTAATTTTTGCCAACATCAGTCTGCAATTTCACTTGCAGCAACTCTTGAGTTCATCACCCTCTTCCTGTCATGATTTTTCTTCTCTTAGCCAGTTGTTATAGCTCCTTTTCCTCTGGAAAGATCTGCTGGACTCAAAATCACAGGACTCAAACCACACAACATTTGGCAAAATTATTGGGGAAGAGCAATAGGTCTCCAAGCAGGTGACTAAATAAAGGCAGTAGCAGCCACAATTTGGAAAAAAAGAATTGTAAGTAATTTGTACAATATATAAATAATTTACTTTCCTTTTGGCTTTGATGAGCATTTGTTCATGCATTTGAAATACTCCTTCATACCAGAGTGCATAGAATTTTGGATTGTGCCTTTTATGTCATATGTTCACTAAGGGTACCAACTGTCAAACTGAAAAATCAGCAATGGAGATTTAAAACTTAGGACTCGGTGCTCAGAGCAGGTATTTTGCTGGTTCTAGAGCCATGGCCTGTCCAGAGTCTGGTAAAAACTTCAGTGTGTCTGTCTGCTTGAGTTACTGAGGATGTGAGGGGTGGTGTTTGCTCTACTATTGTAGATACAATATGAATTATTTATTTGTACCTTTCATTTTTTCTAATTAAAAAAAAAAATCTGATCCAACAAAAACACCAACTGGTCCTTTTTTTTTAAAATTTTTTCCTACTTGTTTGAGATACCAGAAATGTGTCATTAAAAGCTGGGCTTTTTAGTAGTTTTAATTTATATTTTACTTCCTTCCTGAACAGAAAATGGGAGTTCATGGGGCTTTTAGGGTGTTTTGGGCTAATTTTTCTTTTTAAAAGAAAGTTTTGAATAAAACTTTTGAGATAAATTTACAGAAGTATTTTTGACCACAGCAGCTGCAGTTTAGTTCAGATTTGAAAATAACTTCAGTCAATTAAAACAGTGTATTCTTTATTTTTACACTTACTGTCTGTGTCATGTGTGTTGCTTAATTATTTTTTATCTAAAGTTATGTGTTCTACTGATACATTGTCTGTCTTGTTTTCTGTATTTCCTTGGACAAAAAGAAGCCAAATAAAGGATATTGAACATAAGGCCACACCATTTCTTTTATTTGTAGCACAGTGCTTGTGAGATTTTATAAATCAATGAGAGAAGCTGTTATCCATGAACTCTAAATGTGTGACTAATTACTTTAGGAAAAGCAGTAGTGACTCAGTGTACTCTGTGGCCTTTTTTAGATCAATTGTGAAGCCACAATGGTTTTTGTTTGTCATGACATCAGCTTGAACTTTTCTTCTTAAAATATGTGATAATGAGAAACTTGAATGTAGTTAAAATGATGTGTCAGTGCTACTGTATCCCTAGAGGAGCTGAATGTCATGGGATTGTGTCCTAGATGTGCTTGTCAGAGCTATTCTTGGTGAAATACAATAGGCAGTGATTTCCAGAGGTTTTCCAGAGATTGCAACATGAATTTTTTATTTTCTCAAGGCTACAGATGGCTGCTGGTGATGGCTTCTGAGGAGCTTTCTCCTGGATGCTAGCCAAAGGTGTAAGTCTTGCTGCTGCAATACCTCACTCACCCTGAGCAATGGGAGATTGTAGTTCCTTCTCCTGAAAATTTGTTGCAATAGAACAAGGCATAACAGTTTTAAACTAAAAGAGGATCAATTTAGATTATATATAAGGATGAAGTATTTTATAATGAGAATGGTAAAACACTGGAGCAGGTTGCCAAGATAGACGGTGCATGCCCTATCCCTGGAAATATTCAAGGTCAGGCTGGATGGGTCTGAGCAGCCTGGTCTAGTGGAAGATGTCCCTGCTCATTGCAGGGGGGTTTGGACTGGATGGCCTTCAAAGCTCCCTTCCAACCCAAATTCTTCTGTGATTCTAAGAATCTGACACTCTCGGATCAGAAAGCAGTGAGCCAGCAGTGCTGCTGCCCTGAGCCCAGTACGGGGCAAACCGTGGTTTCCACAGGAAGAAGAGCAACATTTGCCATGCACAAGAGCACAAGGGCTGTTTGCCTGGCCCAAGAGCTCCTGGCACAGCTGGCTCAAGTGCTCCTTAAGCCACCAGTTGCAGGGTGGGTTGTGCTGGCAGAGCAGGGCAGGAAGCAAACAGTGTGGGCTGAGGTGGTTCTGGCTGGGGTTGAGGTATGGTATCACAGTTAAGTGGCCTTAGAAAGAGTAGATTGGGGACCCTTAATTTCACAAAATGTAAACATACGCAGAACAGCATGTTTCCTCAGGGAAACCTCAAGGTCACTGTAAATCAATAAAAGGTTCCTTTTTAGGCTGACAGCCTGGTCCTTAGAGCCTGTCAAAATGTTTGCTTTGGTTTTCAAGTCACAGTGCATTGTTTAGTTCCTACAGATGTCTCCTGTCTGTGTTATTTTATCCCTGACATGCTCAAGGATGTCATTACTCTGAATTGTGCTGACATAAGAGACAGGAAGGTAAAGTGTCTGTGAGAGGTAACATAACCACAGGGATGCAGAGAGGGTGTTCAAACCTCCAATATGCAGAGCTTGGTTCCTATAAAAGATAGAATTTGAAGAAAAAAAATATCATTTCTGATCACACTGTGAGAATGACTTCCTTTTTGCCTTGGACGTTTTGAGTGTTTTCCTGTTGCCTTGCCACACTGACCACCCAGCCCAAGGTCAGGCAGCTGCTTCAGCAGCCTCTGAAGTAGTGAATGTATGCTTGTGTTTTTATCCTTTATCCTTTCCTTATCCTTCACCAACCCATGAATTTTGCCTCTGCACATTGTTTTCAGTTTCCAAGTCTGAGAAGTAGACTTGGTATGCTTCTAGGTGACTTTTCCATATCATGTCATGCCACGTGCCTGCCTGCTTCACTTCTGTGGCTCCCAGCTGCTGCTCTGCTAACTAAAATGCTGTTTGCTTTGAAAGCATGGTGGCAGCTGCACTCAAAGTCTGTTGCATAGCAACATGTCAGGGAAAGAAGTTAAGCTAGAAGCTAAGAGGATGTATGGTGGGGGTTTGTCTGAATTTTTTTCCTTAAGATGGATTGAAGTTAGTGGCAGCATCCACACTGAACAAGACCTTGCATGTTGATGACCAGTATTTTTTCACCCAGAAAGGCTTAAAAGTCTTGCAGCTTCAAGTTGAAAGCACTTAGATTGTTTTTTGATGACCATATTCAGTGAGCATCCTGGGAGGTGGTAATTAAGTGAATTTGGTGCTTTGCGTCACTTTGCATTGCAAGAAGGAAGTGGACAGGCAGAACTGGAAAATAAAGAACAGGATTGCAGGCCCAGCCTTACTAATCTGGGTTTTCCGCAGAGGAAAAGGAGGAGACATATTTCCAGAAGTAATTTATCAGACATATTGGAGTCTGATAAATTACTTCTGGAAAACAATGTATCTGAGTGTAGAGGTTGACAAAAGAAAGTTTCCCACTTCTCATTTAAAACAGAGGTTAAGCAGGTTGGTCCTTGCTGATGAGGTATGGATCAGACAGATTGCCTGTTTTTGTAAGAGTTTGTTAATGTAATTTGATAAGGAAACACAGTGGGAGAATGATTATGTTATATTTTATCCAGTCCTAAAGTGATCTTGATTACAAGTTCCTCCTGATTTTGCCCTTCGCTCTTCAGGCTTCTCTGATTTATTGTTCCTCTTGGTCCCGGACAAGTTCCTTCCTGATCATTCTTTTTCTTTGCAAATGACTTGGTCTGAAGCGTGCTCTTTTCTTGCTCATGTGGACACCCTCTCCATCTGATTTTCCCTTTCCCTCTCTGGTACTCTGTTCACAACAGTCACTCCATCACTGGAAGGTGTTTTAATCTTCCTGGTTCACAGTAACCACAAAGTGAAAATAGCTCCTGTGAAAGCTTTGTAGTTGTTTCCAAACCAGGAGGCAGACCCTCAGGGAAAGACAACATGGACACCAATATACAGACCTAGGCCCTTTCCCTCTCTGGTACTCTGTTCACAACAGTCACTCCATCACTGGAAGGTGTTTTAATCTTCCTGGTTCACAGTAACCACAAAGTGAAAATAGCTCCTGTGAAAGCTTGTAGTTGTTTCCAAACCAGGAGACAGCCCCTCAAGGAAAGACAATATGGACGCCAATATACAGACCTAGAGAGAATGTCCCTGCTCCTGTCTGTCTGCAGGAGCTCCAGAGAGCCCAGATCCTAGGCACGCACTGCCTGGAGCTCAAGTGGAGCCCACTGACATATGTTCACCTCTCTTGCTGGGCTGCATGATTATTCCATCAAAATGTACAGAAAAAGAAAATGTGCACCTGGGGGCCTGAGTAACATGGTTGATGTCTCATCATGGAGTAAAAGGAAAGCATACTCTCACAACTGTTGCATACATTAAATTTGATTTCCGTTAAGCAGCTGGTTATTTCAGCTGACTGATCCTATCTAGGGATAATAAATATTGGCATTCTCTGGTGTCCTTTATCGCGTCACAGCCTGGGATAAGATGGCTCAGTTAGAGCATAGTGCCACTGGAGCCAAGGTGGAGGGCTCCATACCCATATGGGCCGTTCATTTGAGACTTGGATATGGCTCAGTTAGAGCATAGTGCCACTGGAGCCAAGGTGGAGGGCTCCATACCATATGGGCTGTTCATTTGAGACTCGGAATTGATGATCCTTGTGTGGTGCTTTCCTGCAACTCAGAATGTTCTGTGATAACTTTGAAATTCACTTAGTAAGTCTTATTTTCTTTCTGGACTAATTAGCCTGGGAGTGAGAAATTTGTGATGATGAGCAGCAACTAGGAGAATTCATTAGGCTTTGATGGAAACACAAGTTGATGATCCTTGTGTGGTGCTTTCCTGCAACTCAGAATGTTCTGTGATTCTGTGATAACTTTGAAATTCACTTAGTAAGTCTTATTTCCTTTCTGGACTAATTAACCTGTGAGTGAGAAATCTGTGATGATGAGAGCAGCAACTAGGAGAACTCATTAGGCTTTGATGGAAACACAAAGGAATACTTTCTTGGACAACATGGAAGGCATAATGTTGGGAACGAGAGATTAGAAGACTTGGGGTGAGAGAAAGCTGGTGTGTTTCCCTGACAGCTCTGAGTGTCCCAGCATAGAGTGGTTGCACTGGTGAGATGAGAGAGAGCTTATGTGTCCTGCTCTGTCTCCAAGTGATGCACCTGGAGTCAAGTAGCTACTTGTGCTGTTGTCTGTGTGGAAGAACAGGATTGTAATTGAGTCAAACATGTCTCCAAGTGATGCACCTGGAGTCAAGTAGCTACTTGTGCTGTTGTAATTGAGTGAAACCAAGGTGAATGTATTCTGTTTGGCCTGAATTGATAGTAAGACCTCAGATTAATTATTCAGGAATATTTTTACACTTAGGTATTTAGTGCTTCCTGGGATTGATATTTTAATTTTAGAATTTTCAGGGAGTTTGTCACAATGTTATTTGTCATCAATAGGGTAAGTGTGCTGTTGGCTAGGGTTCTTCTGTTGTGAACAGTTTCCCTCTCCCACTGCCCTTAGCACTCCCATCTCTTCCTAATTTGCATCTGAGATACCTTCTAGACTGATTTCGGTGCCAGAGGAAATCTTATTTCAACTTTCAGTAGTAATCATGAGCTGAAATCCTTTTCCTCTTTGCTTCACTGGAAAGAGGATTTGTTGCTCTGCCTGCACTGCCCAGCCATGTTTTGATTTGGCTGTCGTCAGAACTGCAGTGTTTGTACAGTGGCAGTCTGGCCACATGAGAAACTGAAAAATTGTAATTAGAGAAATTTAGTTCCTTGAGTAAGTTGGCTGTTTCCTAGGCAAAAGTTGAGTTTTCCCTGGAAGAGCAGAAATCCCAATGTCAAGGAAGAGAAAAGACACAAGTTCATAAGGTTTACATAGAAGCTATTTGGTGGTCTGCCAAGAATGAGAAGCATTGAGGGGAAATCCTTTCGGTGTGGTCCTGTCCCCTACAAATCAGTAAGGGAGCAGAGGTGGTGTAAAGACCTGTGATGGACATACAGCATCAGGCTGTAGACATTACTCTGCATGGCCTCTTCTGACTATCAAGGCTGAGGTTTTTGCCACAGTCTCCCAGCTGGATTTGCTGTGAAGTGCTTTTTGGGACTGTTCAGAATCATGTGAGATCTGGACTCTGAGTCTTCAGACGCATTTGTATTTGTGCTGCGCAGACCAAATTTCTGTGAGAAATGTTAATCTGATATTAAATTTGGGAAAGACTAAACTCTCTGTTGTGGGATAACTGTTGTGCGTACCAGTCCATATAAAGGGCTTATTATGCTTTTATTTTTTGTCATGTAAGCAGCACTTCTATCTATGGGAATAATCTCATTCCTAGTAGGAATATTGAGTGTGTCTCTGCTGGCAGCCCAGATATTTTCCCTCTCCCTTCTACACAGCTTTCCATGTTAATCTAGCCAACAGAAGAACCTGGGGTAAAAATTAACCCTAGAAAACTGTATGGGCACCTGAAAAAATTTTATGCTAAAACTAGGGAAGGCAGAGCCATTGAGAAAGATCGGATTTGGAAATCACAAATGGTTTACGTAAGCAGCTGATTGAATCAACTGGAAGAGATTTCTGGTTTCCTGGAAACAGTTGTCATGATGTTTTTTCCTTGTGTTTAAAATGAGGTTTCTGCTTCAAGATCTTCCCTTCTCAAACTTTCCTGTATTAGTTGAAAGGTTGATGCTTAATATAAGAAGGAAGACATTCCTGGAAACTGCACAATTGCTTCTTCTGTTTGTTATGACATTTTGAAGTCTGAAAATTTGAGAGGTTAACTGCTAAAAAATAGGCATAAACTTACTTTCTATTGGCCTAATTTGCATTATGTGGTTAATACGACAAGTTATTTAACAAGTTATTTAAATTAGCTGGAAATTCTCTGCTCCATGGTTTAACTTCACTCTTGGGGTTGCACAGGAAAGCTCAGTTCAATATCTTTGCTTTGTTTGCTTGCACTGTGTATAGTGGCTGTTTGGATGGTGTGTGCACAATTCATGCCATTATGGAGTGGATTTGGGCAGGCACAGGTTTCATATAGTTAGAATTTTGTATTTCTAACTGGTCGTATTGGTAGACATTTGTTAGCCTTTCCTGCCAAAACATTTGGGAGAGTTTTAGACTTAAAAGTATTTATATCCTTTTGAGAAAGTAATTGGCTTGGAGCTGTTTCTCAGAGTAAATTCCCCTGAGCAGACATTTGGAGAAGTGGGTCTGTTTTTATGATTCCCAAAACACTGTTTGTTTTAGTTCAGATTTGGTATGATTTAGCTGCTTAGAAAGCATTTTTTTTCTGCTGGCATACACATATATGGTGCATTCTATTTTTGAAATTAAGAGTTTATTCAATATTTATAATTACAGTGTAAATAATGTTGACTCAAGAAAAAAAGTATTACTTCACCATCTTCACTGCTAGAACTTTTGCTTCTAAAAATAGGGCAAGTATAAACAATTGTGGGGTTTTGCCGTTCCCACTGAAATGGTAGAAATTTCCTTCTGTGGAATAAACAAATATCTTCCAAGAGAAGTATTTCGAGGTTTAATAAGTCTTTTAGTTAAAGTGTTCCTTAATGTTTGATTTTAACTTTATAAATTGCTATGAAATGTTTTATGCTAAGGGTTAGATAGCTTGTGAACAACCCTAAATAATGTAAGATTCTACATCTTCGGACTCTAAATTGCTGCTCTGGTTGAAGATAAGAGACTACAGTCAAGGGAGAATATAGAGCAATGATTAGGATGTACAACAAACAAAGTAAACTTTTCTGAGACACTAGGTAGAGGTTTTAGAATGCCACTGAGACTTTAGGTAGAAGTTTGACAAAGCCACTGGGAGATACATAAAAATATAGAATATAAAAATGAAATTATAAATATATGAAAGAATAATAAATGTTAATGAGGTTCATTAAAATACCAAATAAAAATATGAATTCATAAAAATATTAATCTCTTTTCCCAGAGGCATTCTCAAACCAGTAACTATGTGGAAATGCAATTGCCTCTTACCTGACTTGAAGAAGAATTGTCTTAACAGAAGAGCCAAGAGCAATCTCTGCATGACTCTGTGTCCTTTACCTCAGAGCACTGACAGACACGATGGTAGAGCCAAGCCCCTGAGTTAGAGGAGAGACTCTGAGCCTGCCCTGTGTCATATGGGGTGCCATCAGCACGGGGCCATAGAGCAGGAGAGGAACTACAGCAGGTAGCAGACATGATTACAGGAATTACAGAGGATTATGGGGAGAGAGAATTACTCTTGTGAAGAGGAATTGAAGGAGGCCACTTCTTTCTGTCATGGAGAACATTTTGATGGGAGTGCAAGTCAGAGATCAGCTGCAATTTGAAGTACAGGAGGAGAGAGCCCCTCTGGAAAATATATGCCTATGGAAATCTGATACAGGACTTGGGATTTCTGCTTCCTGTGTGAACTCACCTGTTTCCAGGTGGTTTTGCTAATGGCTTCTGTGCTAAAACATCTCAAACCAGACCCACACATATTTTCATGTGTACAAGATAATTTCTGTTTATATGACTTTAGTTCTAGATATGTCATTAGCTCTAGCTAATAGAATCAAATAGAAATATGTGGAAATATAGATGTTTGGGGTTTATTCTTGCAGAAAAACTTAAAGAATACTCCAGATTTCTTCTTGGGGTACATGTAGTCATATATTGCCCTCTGTTTCAAGATGAACATACATACATACATACGTGCATGCAATTAGTACTTTACTGTGCCGCTTGCCAACTTCTGTGATAAAATCCTGAGATGACTCCAGCTTTGACTTCAAATAGCCCTATTCCCTAGACAAGAGCTTCCACTGATAAACAGAATGACTTGTAAATTAAAAAAAAAAAAAAAAATAGTAGGTTTCTAAAAAGAGAAAACTGAAGTGACGGAAATAAAGGGCCTGTGTGTATCCTGTTGTGTCCTTGTAATAAACAGAATGACTTGTAAATTTAAAAAAAAATTAAAAAGAAAAAAAGGTAGGGTTTAGTTAGTATTTTAGCTAGGAGTCTTCACATTCTAAAAAGAGAAAACTGAGGTGATGGAAATAAAGAGCCTGTGTGTATCCTGTTCCCAGCTTGTTGTGTCCTCATTGGCAGGTCCTTGCTTCCAGCAGTGCTCTCTAGGTGCATTGAGTCCAGGTTGTCCAGGATATCTTGTCTTCCAGAAGGAAAATACCTGATTTTGCTATGTATCAGAGATTTTTATCTTTCCTAGTAGGCATTAGAGAAATAGTCAGGCCACTGAGTCTCCTGGGAGAAAAATATATGAAAATAGAAAATGTGATACTAAGAGATGTGATATAACCCAGTTGAGTAAATCCAATGAATTAATCAATGCTGGAAAAAAATCTTTTGGTATTAATGTGGAGATTTAGATTTTGTTTCTCACATTATTTTTTCTCCATATGATAAAGCAGTGTAGTATAGAAAAGTACTAAGAATGACACTTTTCTGCCCTTAATTGGAAGAAAAATTGTTTTGTCCCATGGGGGTAGTACTTACAGTTTTTTTACTAAATCCTAATTTTGAGTGTGTGTTTTCTTTTCCATTCATAATCTCCAGGGAGTTAGCTTCCAGCAATACCCTTGGGCTTGGCTTTTCCACATCCTGAGAAAGTTTAGATTGCTTCCTTCACAGTATTTCTTTTTCCCTTCCCAAGCAGTTGTGCAGGGAGGGGTGCAAATTTGCCTTGTTGCTTGTGAGTAATGCTGTTGATACAATGACCCAGTCCAGAGAGAGACAGGAAGGGCTGAAACATCTCGGCCTTGCAGCAAAGTTTTTGAAATGGTTAACGCTCATCCTTTGTTTTTCCTAGAGGTTTCTGGTGGCTACCACTAATTTCCTACAAGCAGAGTGCTGAGGAAGGGCAGATGACAGATGTATATGTGGGTGTGGGTTTCTTACTGAGCTATTTTCTTATTTTGTAGCCTTCACTACTTGAATCCATAAAAGGTATCTGAAAATTGCCAGGTGGAAGAAGAGAATGTGCATCTGTGAGTTTCAGGTTGCAAGAAGCGATTAGGAGGGAAGGGCGAGTGAGAGCCACAGCAGTTCATTGATGTGGGTAGGAAAGGAACTTCTATGATGACTTTCCTGGTTCAGATTCACAGACAGGTTTTCTCTGTCCCCATCCTGTATATTCTCTGTTCTTTTGCCTTAACTTTTTTCACTACCCACATTCTCTTTTTTTTTTTTTTTCACTTCATAATTTGTTGGCCTTTTTGACTGTTCACTTGCTATTGTTTTTGTTGTCCCCCAAGGCCACACACAGTGCAGTGAGAATGAGCCAGCTGTGCATATTTTGGCTCCCAGTGGATTGCGTACGTCTTGGAGATGTTGCTTGGATGCCTGCAAATCTTCATTGGTGGGTTTCAGGCTGGTGTGGTTGTAATGGAAACATTTGCTTTGAGCTGAAGAAGGGTGTGGAGACATGGATCAAAGAAAGACTTCATGCCATTTATTTTCAGCCATGAACAAATGGACTGTGAGTGTTGTGGTCAGTCCAGTGCGTGCCATCAACCCTTTAGCTGAGCATTTATAAAAAAATTACAATATTTGTACAATATTAAATATTTAAAATATCAAATGTTTTAATATTTATTTTAACAATAAAAGGTCAAAAAGTGGGAGGGAGCCCCATTTTTTCCAGAACCTGTTACTGTAAACATGATGAAAAGATAATTATAAAGGAAACTAGTGCAGACTGTACACCCTAGTATTTCATAAGTGACTTTTATCTGAATGACTCTGTCCATATGAGAGAAAAAAAACATGGCATTAAAGCATTTCAGTTCCAGAACTGAAAAGCTGTGATTAAATATCATAAACTGTAACTTTCCTTGTTATTTTTTCCAATTTGGTTTTGGTTTGGCTTTGGGTTTTGGGTTTTTTTGGGTATGTTTTTTTGTGCTGCTATGTAGATGTTTTGCCATTTTCTTTTTTAAGTGAGAGCAATTGAAAAGCTGTGAAGATTAAGAAGGAAATATTTTGTGCCACTACTCATGAGGTTCATTCTGGGAAATAATCAATTATAAATCAGTTTTTAGGAAGATAGGGGAAATGTTTTCAGACATGTAGTATAGTACCACATTCTGCTTTCACTTACGTAAGTGCAGCTGTGCTGAAGTCCTGGAGCAGCATCAATGCCGTGTGTACTCTGTTACCTCATTTTACTTATGCCCTGGGATGCCTCTGAACAGTGGCTATATGTTAGAAACCAGTGGAAAATCCCTCTTTCCAGGGATAATGAATCTGACTAGGTCTAGTCCCTTCCCTCACACGAAGCTGCTGCACAGTGCTGAGCTAGACTTTTGGAAAACCTTTGGCAGGGTAAGTGGATGGTACCTTGTTGGGTCTCATGTGCGAGGCAGAGATGCAAGAAGGTACATTCTATAAGGAGCAGCTAAGACTTTTGTTTTTGTCTAGTTTGGAGGGAAGGAGGCTGAGAAGGGACCTCATAGCTCTCTATGCCTCCTTGAGTAGAGGGAGGGGAGAGAGGGGTGCTGATCTCTTCTCCTTTATATTCAGTCACAAGACAGTGGTTGAAAGCTACTCCAGTGGAGATGTGGACTGGACATTAGGAAGTACTTCTTTATTGAGGAAGAGGTCAAACTCTGCAACAGGTTCCCTAGAGTAGTGGTAGATGCCCCAAACCTGCTTGTCCTTTTACCCCAGGGAGAGCAGGAGGGCGGGAACCCAAGGACCACCAACCAGGTACGGGGCGGGTGGGTCTCAGGTGAGAGGGACACCTGGATGGGCCAATGGACCCCCAGGGGGTGGAGAGCATCCTTTGAACCTGCCAATCACTCAACGGTCCTCTGGAATTTCTGGGTTGATAGACAGTGCCCAGCAGGAGTCAGGGTGGGGGAAAGGAGAGGTGATTGACACCTGGGGAAGGACTGGTGTAACTGAGGCAAGCCATGACATCACACCACAACAAATATGTTATTAAACTATTGTGTGATGTTCAGATGAGACTGGGTATATGTTCCATCTTGAAGAGCCACAAAAAATATCCTTCTTGTTATGGGAATGCATATTTGGGCTGCCCCATGTGTAACCTGCCATTTTGATATGATAAGAGGCCATCCAATCTTACAGATGTCAGTGCCAGTAAAGATAACCACCAAAGTACATAGAACTGGATGTAATGCTCTTCATGAAAACAGAAAAGGCTCACTAAAACTAAACAAAATTTATGTATCAAAACCTTCTGAAATGTTCTGCAAGCCTTTATATTCTTTTCTTTGCTGATTTAGTGGAGTCCAGGATAAATTCTTATTTCTATTTACTTTAACATATTTAGCAAAACCGCTGCTAGTTCTCCCCAGGTCCTAGTTTGCCAACTGGCACCAATTTAAGGGCAAAAATAGTTAATTATATGGGTAGCAGTTCTTGGCTGACCTAGTCACCTAGTCTGAAGCTGAGCGAAATCAACAAAGAGATCCCCTCATCTACATCCTATCTAAAGCAGTCACTGTTTTAAAGGCAAAACTCCCTTGTGTTCCCAAAAATGTGTAAGTAGCTAAATTGCATGGGAAGTGGGGACTTCCTGAAAATTGTGCTCAAAATATCCAAATCTGGGTGTTAGGTAGCAAGAAAATGTGTTTCAGTTTTGGCTGCAACTTACTTCACTTCCTGGATTTGCTTGGACCAGAATTTGTCCAGTGAAGGCACAAAATACTCTGTGAGGCCCAAAATATAATTTGGGGAGCTGAAGAGGAAGACTGCTGCCCTCAGGGTGCTGTTACAAAGCAGTTCATGGAGGGCATCAGGAAAGGCAATGTTTTTTCTAAGTGACTGTGGCGTTTTTCTAAGTGATTTCTTAAACTTCAATTTTAGTTACTTTATTGGCAAGCCTAATGGGAGTTGGCAACAAGGATACTGCTGAGGAATGGGCATCAAGCAAAACACAGGCAAAGGGTGTGGGAATTCCTCTTCTGCATTGACCGTTTGAAGCATGAAGAATGAAAAAGGCACAACCAAAGGAAGCACCATCTGCCCTTGAATTAAAAAGATGCAAGGAGATCCTAAAAGAAATGTGTTGCCCAGGGAAACCAGCATTATCCCCTTGTGTAAATGGAAGGCATGAAATTGTAAAATGAAAAGTTTATGCATGTAGTTTGAACTTTGCCTCCTTGTGTGGACTGAATGAGCAATAACCTCAACCTACGTTTTTCCACGGGGCTCTCCCACATCTGGTGGTTGGACAGCACTCATCTATTTTGATGTTCAAGATGTGGTTTTCAGTGACTTTCACCACTCTGAGTGTTCTGTGTTTCAGAGGCCCATCTCTTCCTGTGTTCTTCTCCTCTCCTGAAGAAGAACAGGGCATGGATATGCAGAATCCTCTGGAGTTCCATGGGAGCCTGAGGGCAGTGAGCGTTGGGCCTTGGCAGAGGATCAGGAAATGAATAGCCTGCAAACAGGTCCTTTGTCTTCTCTAAGGAATATGAATCATCATGGAGATAGACAATGATTTTACAGTGATGGCAGCATAAAGATAGCAGATTTCGGTGCCTGTCAGAAAAGGACTATTTAACTCATCCTGTCATTTCTTAACCAAGACAACCACTTCTGAAGCAACAGCAGATATGGTAACAGGCTAGGTGATTTCTAGTAGGTGTCAAATCAAGCCACACATGAATTAAACCTGCATTTTCAAATGAAGAGAATAAACCATCTCTTCAGACAAAGACGAAATGACATTTTACAGTCTTGCAGAAATGCGTTTTATTCTTTTAAAATCAAAACAACTTATATGAAAAGAAAAGGTATTTTTCATTGGGTAATTTTTTCCTGAACATTTCCATCAGCATTCTAGGGAAACTTAAGAGGAGACAAACTTTGTAAAGCTTTCCTATGGAAAAAAGTAAAGGGATCATTTAAGATGACTGCATTAAACATTACAGGTGTGTACCGCTGACCTGAGCTGCAGTGTAAACTATTGAACAGAGCTGTCAAACACCTTTTGTGTTTCTTTAGATAAAATAGCTGTTTTCGTACACCTGATACATTTCAAATCTTTGTTCCCCCCTCCTAAAGTGCTTGGAGCCAGTTTGGCACACTGGCAGTCCAAACAGAATTCCAGAGGTTGCCACGTGACTGTGGTCTGGCTGTGTTGACCCCTTCCTGCCTTTCTGGGGCCACTTGCCCTTCTGCACTTCCCTTTTCTTTCTGTGGCTTTGACAGAGACTGAGCCTGTGGCCTAGACATAGCAAAGAAATTATGAAGTGACACAGACACCTATGTGCTTGTGAAAATTATAGGTTATTGCTCTCTGTGTGTCAAACCCTGCTAATGGTCCTTCATCCACTGCAAACACAACCTTCTGCCAGGAACAAAACAACATTTGCAATAAATTCAGGGAAAACAAGATGACATGGTAGGAGAATTTTTTTTTAAAGGAAGGACATTGAGCCCTCTGTTTGGCATCTCTGCCTGCTAATTATTCCAAAGAATTGTGCAAGCTCTGGACAGTCTCAAAAGGAACTAATTGTTTATTTCTCCTTATCATAGACTTTCCGCTCTGGAGAGGGCCACAACACAGTAATGATTTTTAAGAAGAAAATCAGAACTTCATCATTTAGGTCTGTTTTTTTATTGGAAGACTTGCCAGGTGCCAGTTGCTCCCATCTGCTCTAAGAGTGCCCATTGAGTGCTGCCAATGCAGAGAGCTTCACTTGTTTCTGTGGGTTTTGTGAACTCTGAGTGAGTTTGGAATAAATCAAAACTTGCACCAGAGCTGTGTGTCAAGTGCCAATTGCTCCCATCTGCTCTAAGAGTGCCCATTGAGTGCTGCCAGTGCAGAGAGCTTCACATGTTTCTGTGGGTTTTGTGAACCCTGAGTTTGGAATAAATCCTAACTTGCACCAGAGCTGTGTGCGAGATCAGATAACCTAATGAGAGCTTCCAAGTCTTCCTGTTAGCTTTACCTGTCCTTAACCTCAGGGACATGCCTGAGATAGCCCCATAAAACACTGCTGCCTTTGTTTCCTGACAACCAGCAGGCATAAGCTAAGGGGGCCCAAATGCAATGTGTGGGTAGGGGATGAGTATTTCTAGCTTGGCTGATTGCAAAGGTCATCTCTAAATGAATGTTTCTGACTGTCTGCCACACTTTTTCCTTGGGAATGCGGATGTCTGAGTTTCTCTCACCAATGAATGAAGCTCTGTAAGAAAGACAAATACTCAAAGGTCAAGATAGCCTCTCAGTATGTGCAACTTTCTCCATGGTAACTGTAATGTAATGGTTGGTGTAGGAATGACATCCAAGTGGTGCTGGGAGTACATATGATAATGGACAAGTTTTAAAACAAATCTATCTGTATTTAAGAAACAGACTAAGCAACTAGAAAGTGTATCTACTCTTTCATAACACCAAAACAAAAATTATTAAAATGTAAAGAAAATCTAACCCTGTAGAACTAGTAAGCAAAGGTACTAGTAAGCTTTTTACAGAAAAGGAGTAGCTAGCAAAAGAAAAAAAAATATTTAGAAAAAGAAATGTGAGAATTCTACAGAGATTAATTGTATATATCTTGTTAAAAAAAATCAGAATTGATTTTGAATATTCTCCCCCTCCAGATCTAGATAAATTGCAGTTCTCTGGAGGCTTGTAATAGGTCATGTTTGTTTTCTGTTCTTTGGGACATAAGTGATATTTAAGTGCAATAACTGTTTTTTCTGGCTCTGGAAAGCTGTATTTGCTGGGACCGTCCTTTGGGTAAGGCATTTTAGAAGGATTAGAATAGTAAATGCAGTGAGAAAATTTCCACACTGCAGTCTTCCTCAGCTCAGATCCCAGGTGCACACTGCCAAACACAGAGTTGGCTGCTGTTG